GTAGATTTCTTTTAATGAGTTAAGCAAAGGATTAAACTTCACATGCCCACTGTGTGGAAGGTAAATATTAATACTCTCATTTTACAGACCACTAGACTGTGGTACGGAGAGGCTAAGTGACTTGCCAAAGGTCACACAGCAAATCAGTGATGAAGCCAGGAATAAACCCTCGTACCCTAACAAACATTTTTCATTTGGCTTTTGGATTCAAGGGGTTCAGCGTTGTTCTTTCGGAAACATCCTGTTTGCAGTCTTTGCCCTAGGGTTGTTCTGACTCCCTTTCAGCTGCCATATTTTTTATTTAAACAAAAATTCCAGGTGAGCAATTTCTAATTTGCCTGACAGAGACTGTTCAACAGAAGGTGAAGTCTAAGTGGCAGAATGCCCTGGCAAACTCCACTCCACACTTGAGCTCTCCTCTCATCGCACTCACTCTCTTGGATTAGTGCTTTCTCATCTCTCACTGAGAAGTGGGAACCTGTAAATATTTCGTTATTACAAGCTCTTCCATTTCTTCAGCCTAGAGTGGCCCTACTAATTCCCCTTCTCTAAAGCCGACTCTCGTGGATTGTGTCTGGAAAGTCATTGGGCCATGGAAACAGATGCAATTCTCACAAAGTTTCTCAGCCAAATTGGGAACTTATTTAAAATGTGGTTTAAAATCACAAGTTGGATGTAAAGAAGTTCTAAAGTGGGTTTTAATGACAAAGCAGCCTAACTCTGTCTGATGGTATTTGGTGGGTATGCACAACTAGTCAGAATTCCAGGTAGGGGGGTGGTAGTAGCAAAACAACCAACTCGGGGGAGAGAATACGATAAAATTGGCTTCCTGCTCCATATTATTGCTGTTATTTGACACTGAGGTTAGCATTCTACAAAACACAAGCATCAAGACTGTTCCTGTAACCAAGGCCCTACAGACTACAAGACAAGACACAGAAAGATAAGAGGCCCTGGGAGAGCCAGAGGAAGGAGTGCACGGTTTATCTCTTGATCCAGTCCTTTTCTGTGTGTGCCATATGGACCTCATGGAAGAAGTGGGTCTGTAGAAGAGATCAAAATGAGGAAGGGCTTTCCATGCACTAGGGCAGAATAGTAGAAGGCATGAAGGCAAAGGGGGAGAAGGAAATTATGTAGAGTATCAACACCCTCCCACCACTTTGAATGAGAGTCTCAGTAATTCTACAAAAAGAAAAGGAGTACTTGTGGCACCTTAGAGACTAACAAATTTATTTGAGCATAAGCTTTTGTGAGCTACAGCTCACTTCATCAGATGCATTCACACTCACTAGGCTGGTACAAGTTGTTCTGCTTTGCCATTTACATCCATTTCAGGATTAGTTTGTACCTGATGCGGAATTTATGCTGTGGCTTACATCCTAACTGACTTTGGCCCACTGCCCTTCGTGGCTGCCTTCTCTGCGAGCTCCCTGAGGTACAAAACCAAATGGGCAGACGTCCCCCAGGTGCTCTGCACTTTTGTTTCTCAGCAGACACTGCAGATATACCACAAACCCTGGAACATGACTGATGAGGAGAGCTTACATCTAATAACTGCCTTGGCATGGCTAGTTTCACAAAATTTGTTTGCTTTATTTGCCTATGTGCAGTTAGGGGTCCCAAACCCCTTTGGTTGACAATACTGTCATTCACATTTCCACTTCCTAATACAAAAGTTACATGAGGATATTATAAACCCAAGCCTTTCACATTTTTAATAAAAATGACAATTAGATTGGCTCACAAGCAGCAGAGAAGCTATTTAGAGCTACCTATTGTTCAGTTTCATCAGGGTCCCGAGTACATATTAAAACTCTAATAGAGAAAAAAGTCATTTTTAAAATAAATGTCATCGTTTTCTAAATGTGCGGGTTTTAATTTGCCTTTTAACACTCTTGCTTCCTTTATGGGTCCTAGGTGGGAGTCTGTTTAGCTCTGGCTCCCCTCCATGCAGGTTTATCTTCATTCAGACAAGTATCAGACATAAGGAGTTTATTCTTCCCTTGTTGTGTGCACATAAGTTTCATTAAGCTTATTGGAAATTCTATGAATGCATAAAGAGGCCCCTTTACAGCTTCAAAAGAGACTTGTGAGATATACCAAAAACTAGCCTACTGTATGTGGTTGGTATGTAGAGTAAGACAAAGTATAAAGCTGATACTAGTGGGAATAAAGGTAGCAATCTAGTATAAATATTTTAGGTCCAACTTTTCTGCCCCTGCAAAGCTGAGGGGAACTGTATTCTTAGATCACAAGCTTTTTGGGACAGGGATTGTGACTTTATAGGAGATTATACAGCACATAACACTATCAGGCTCCAATTCTGTTGGGAGCTTCTAGGCACTATCACAGTATAAATGTTTAATAAGAGTAATACATAGTAATAATACTCTGCTTTAGATAAGGGAATTCTGCAGAGCAAGGAACAAAATCCTCACTGCTAAAGCACAAGTAAAGAAAAGAAGATGACAGGGCATTAGTTGGGAAAAGTACCAGACTGGCCAAGACGGTCAAGAGTGACTAATGATTTTTGGGTGTCCAACCTGAGACACCCAAGAGGGGCCAGATTTCTCCAGTGTCCTGAGAATCTACTCTAAGTCTCAAATTGGGCGCCCAAAATCACTAGTCACTTTGGAATAGTTTGACCTCTAGTCCTATTTATCCACACACAGTCCAATGCAAGCTTGTCAAGATGGAGTAAACTGGGAAAGACTGAATGGTCCATTTTAATTACAATAATGTACCACGAAATCCCCTACTTTGAAGGGCTAAACCCCATTAGTACCTTAGAAGTGAAAGGTTCCATATCCCATTATCATTCTCCTGCATTATCAAGCCCTCACGGCTTTAGGACTAAACTCGGAACCATTATAAGCAATTGCATCTCCACAGTCTTCAGTAAGTAGCATCTGCTTCCATGAGAACTGAACTAGCCCTTAAGGCCCAGCCAGAACAATGTGAAGAGACTAAACAAATATTCTTATTATTTAATAAAACGGCAGCTCCCCAAGCTTCCAGTCAGGACTGGGAGGGCTCACGGTACTGGACACTGGACATGCTCACAGACAGTAACTCCCCTTTCCCCAAGCAGCTGACATCTAAGCAGACAAGAAACACAGGAAGGGGAGTGAGGGAGCCAATTAAATGGATATCTTTTTAGGGACACTTGTTGGGGAGGTGCTAGTTTTCTAACTACATAGATAAATCAGGACTTTCCCCAGCTGCCCTCAGCCTAGCCACTAAACATTTGCTGATTTCTTGAAGACATCATGGCAGAAGTGGGTCTTGAGAAGGGATAGGACACAGGAGAGGGTAGCAGTGTAACTGATCATTGTCATGCATAAAGGGTATCACCTGGGGAAGTGTGAAGGCAGTGGTGAGCAGAGCAGACAAGTGGCAACTGAGGCTGGCATAACCAACAGAGCCCAGAGGATAAGGCAGCAACACAAGAAGAGAACAGATTGGTTAAGTAGGAAGAGACAGAATTAAGACAAGAAGCTTGAACCTGGGTAAGTGGTAAAGGGGGTGTCAAAAGCTGATCTGCATTTTGTGTGGGCCAAGGAGGGAAATGGAGGCGTGAGGGAAGCCAGAGAGGAGGAGGATGTTGCTAGCTGGAGTGTACAGAAAATAAATCTCTCCCCCATCTCCTTGTTCTGGTCAGCAAGACACAGAGAAACACTGAGAAACAAACCAACAATCTGTGCTAACACAACTACACGAGTAGACTGGACAGATTTTGCTTATACACAGTAATTTACGATGCAAACAAAACATGAAAAACTAATCCAGAATTAACAATGGGCCAGATGGTAATGCTAGTTTGAAGCAATAAACATGAAAAACAGCTTCCTTCTGCTACTACTGATCAATTTCCCTATTTAATAATGCAATCAAAAAGGCATGTTTCTGCTACCACACATATTCAGCATTAGAGACGGGGTTTCTTTTTCTGTTCTCTTCTTCTTTGCTTAATCCAGCAGCAAAATTTCAGAACTCATTTAAAACATGAGAACTCTTAGCCCTTAAAATGATAATTAAGATGAATACTTACCCTCAAAGGTTCAGATTTAAGCCTCGCTCTCTATTGCCAACAAAGCTGTAGTAACTTAGCTGCCATCTGCAGTACCTTGATAGGAACACCTACCCTTGCTGCTCCAGTGAATTTTGTTATTTAATGAATTTCTCTTTTGAAAAAAAAAAAAACAAGCTTTTTGATATCATTTAAATTTGGAGCCAATTTAACAGCTGAGTTGTAGTGTAAGTTCCTGCTACAACGCATCATACATCCCTGGCTCGTCACAAAGCCAAGGACAGAGAATGAAGAGCTGTAGGGTGGAACGGGCTATCTGAAAAGTAAATGAATGCAGTACTTGGATTTTACCAAAAATAACCCAGTTGGGGAGCAGAATTCACCAACAAAGCAGCTAGACATATCTGTTTGGAGCTCTTGAATTGATGTCTGTTTTATTAGCTGTGTAAATTACTGTCTGAATGCACTGTGCACCAAGTTATGCTGGAATGGAGACCTCACTGGGAGTGTTATTAAGGATACTATGGATTTGGTGGACCTGGATGAGGCATCACAGCATCTACCTATGTGAACATAAATGTAAGGCACTTCAGCATGTGCATTAACAGGTGATTGGCAAGTGCCTTGAATTCAGTGCAAGGCTGAAGACAAAGTGCCGTCAAACACCAGATGAGTTTGCAGGTGCAGATGACAGTAAATGCACCTCCAAAAACCAAAATTACACTTGCAAAACTGCAAGCACAAAGAAGAGGCTTTGTGAAACCCAGGTCCAATGAGGACCTGAAAACAAGGGTGACCTATCCTACACACATGAAGGGAAGCTAATATAGAACTAATGGGCCAAATTCTGCAGTCAGATGCAGAGGCAGTGTTCCCACAAATTTTAGTGGAAGCTGGATGTACATTTATAAGGGCAAAATCTATCTAGAAACAGGAACTTATACACTCTCCCAGTATGGAATGGAATTACCTGATTCTCTTTGGTCTAGTCCCATACTATTCCACCTTCTTGTGATATCAATGTACAGAATATCCACGGAAGCCATTGAAAAACTGCTGTTACTCAGCTTGCAGTTCCTGTTAAATATAAACCAAATAAAGAAAGAAAAAGTCTGATTACTTCCAAAGTTAGCTAAATTGTGGGAAGGGAACTGGGATAAAGGGTTTATCCAGGCCAGATGGGCAACTATGAAGGCACACAGAGCTCAACTGAAAGCCATGGCCACCTAGCTTGCTGCAGATATCAATCAAATTAGCACTCGTTAAATGTACATGGGCTATAACGGAGAAAGTCCTGTATGGTCTCACTTACAACATGATGTATACAACCAGCCTTCCCATTTGCTCAGAGCACTCGGACACCAGCTCTGATAGGGACTAGCTATCAGCAGATCCAGTGTTGTGGATACTGCCACACCTCTAAGTAAGTTGTGAATGTTCAATGTGTTCAACTTCATTTCAATATCCTGAAAACAACAGGATGAACAAGCTGCTATATACGTTTTTCAATCAGCTGGGTTTTGCAAGAGATAACCAAAAAATCCACTTACTATTTCTCATCAAAAATATGGCTTGACCAATTGTTACGACCTGCTACCCTTTAAAAGAGGGGTGGGCAAACTATGGCCTTTTAATCTGGCCCTCAAGTTCCCGGCGGGGAGCAGGGTCAGGGCCTTGCCCCGCTCCGGCGCTCCAGTCAGGGAGCGGGATCAGGGGCTTTCCGCGCAGCTCCAGGAAGCAGCAGCATGTCTCCACTCTGGTTCCTACGTGTAGGGGCAGCCAGGGGGCTCCGCACACTGCTCCCGCCCCAAGCTGCCCTCCCTCCCCTCCCATAGTTCCCGTTGGCCGGGAACTGTGGCCAATGAGAGCTGCAGGGGCAGCGCCTGAAGACTGGGTGGCATACAGAGACGCCTGGCCGTGCCTCCGTGTAGGACATGGCACTGTGTCCGGGAGCAGCTTGAGGTAAGCGCCACCTGGAGCCTGCACCCCTGGTCCCCCTCCACACACACACCCCAACCCCCTGCCCCAGCCCTGATCCCCCTCCCAGCCTCTGAATCCCTCGGTCCCAGCCTGGAACACCCTCCTGCAGCCCAAACCACTCATCCCCAGCCTACCCCAGAGCCCACATCCCCAGCCAGAACCCTCACCCCCTCCTGCACTCCAACCCCATGTCCCAGCCTGGAGCCCCCTCCCACATCTTGAACTCCTCATTTCTGGCCCCACGCCAGAGCCTGCACCCCCAGCCGGAGCCCTCACCCCCTACCCCAATTTCGGGAGCATTCATGGCCCGCCATACAATTTCCATACTCAGTGGCCCTGAGGCCAAAAAGTTTGCCCACCCCTGCTTTAAAACAAACAAAAGGAAGTTTTGTTTCTCACAATGCACAGTCAACTGTGGAACTCCTTGCCAGAGGATGTTGTGAAGGCCAAGACTATAACAGGGTTCAAAAAAGAACTAGATGAGTTCATGGAGGATAGGTCCATCAATGGCTATTAGCCAGGATGGGCAGGGATGGTGTCCCTAGCCTCTGTTTGCCAGAAGCTGGGAATGGGCGACAGGGATGGATCACTTGATGATTCCCTGTTCTGTTCGTTCCCTCTGGGGCACCTGGCATTGGCCACTGTCGGAAGACTGGATACTTGGCTAGATGGACCTTTGGTTTGACCCAGTATGGCGACTCTTATGTTCTACCCTCCTGGAGTTATTATTATTATGAGTCTACCACTGAATGATACTCACTGATCCATTTGAAATGCCTGTATAAAGCTACACGGAGTATCTAAGAGATTGATCCTGCAAGATGTTTCTGCTGGAAAATATTACGTGTTTTGCTGTTTCGCACTTCCAAGTAGCTTTTTAACCCACTTAGCTATAAGAGAGATGGTAATGGTTCTTTAGAGGTAAAGGAGATCTAGAGTGTGGGTTGAGCTGTTCTAGGTACCCTAGGTGCAGCCAAGCATGGGCTTAGGCTGTATTTCATAGTATTTCATTTTGAGTTCCTTTTGTGAACAAACTGAACCCACCGAAAGAAAGTAAAGCTTTGATTGGCTACAACTCGTGAGGACAGTTTGTAACCACCTGCTCATTACACACACACATTGATATACCTTCCATTTCATTCTTGAGGAAAGGAATCTAGCAAATGCTCTGACATGGGCAACAAGAACAGAATCTTTTATAAATTTACTAGAGGATTGTTGGAAGAAGGGCACACAGACTGGAGAACTCTGAGAAAAATCTAGATTTTACTGATATTAGAGCTGAATTGAAGAGACACCAGAGAACATGAAGGAAGACATTCTTGCAGTGAGGTATGTTAGGCACCCATTGTGGGCCCACTTGCCCTGCCCAGATTTCTCTGCAATGTCTATGTGGCATGAAGAATGGTCTGCAGCTAAAGTCAGAAACCATTCTCTTAATAACTGACCCCAACCATGTTTGTACCTGGCTTTGATTTGCCACATCACTCCTCGGTCTTTCTGAACGGATTCTGAATGAGCCAGGTCAGCGTGCAACTAGCCTTCACGCCTATGGCCAATGAGACGATCCCACATGCCAAAGGCAGACAACATCACACATCACTGACGAATGCCCTGACAAGATTTGATGGTGGTCTGAGGGCTCTGTACTTCGCCAGTGAGGCTGCTGCAAAATGGCTTTGCAAGTTCAACATTCAAGGACAAGGAGAAGAAGAATTATGGAATAATCTTTCAGAAGAATATCTATCTGTCATTTATAGTGAAACGTTTATACTATGCTCGTCACCAAGGTATCTAAATCAAGGCTTTATTCAACAGTAAAAAACACACTGTAGTGAACAATCCTGCACTGGCCTGTGGATGGAGCAGATGCCCCACAGTCTTTTCTATCTATATAACTCTATTTGTTTTTATTCATTCTTGACTGCTAAGGGCATCTGCATGGAAAGAGGATCTCTGTATTTTAAGAGTGCATTTGCTCCTGCTGCTTATTTATTTTGTCATAGTCAATGAAAGACAGAAAATGGGATATGTGTACCATAACTGGAACATGTACAGCCATTAAAAAACAATGAAAATGACAAAATAAAAGTATATGAAAAAATAAATTGAATTCCTTGCCACTGCAAGCTGCAATTTCCTGATGCAAATCATTAGTGCACAGTGTAACAGTGAGCAACATTTGGAAAGCCTCCCCCCTGGCTGGGAACAGCAGGGTATACACCCACAGCTAGGGAAATCACCCTTCTTCAATATCTCCTCTTCACAATGTCTCAATCCAAACACACTCACATTCCTCTGGTTTACTAGAAATTAAACAAGTAGATCTGGACTATGAAAAATACTAACATTTGTTAGAGACCATCAACTGGCAGTGGAATAAAGGCCCAAGTGTTCCTACTGAATAAAGCTTTGGACCACAGGTCAGTCTATGCCCATCTTCTTTTAAGGATCTTACCTTTCTAAAAAAGCTAAACACGTATCTAAATAACAAGTATTGTAAAAGGAAATTACCTTTGTCTCCAATGCTATTACTTTCCTCATTTGTGATATCTGAATTATGTTTGCTACAATGTCCCAGAACTTACTTTTCCACATACAAATATGGGAGGAAAAAATAACTCTTCAATAATGTCTGTCCCCAACAGATTCAATCCACAATGCCAGCTGAACTGAGTGACAAGCCTAACCACTTCAGAACTGCCGTTTGTATAATCAAAGATCCAGATTGACATTTAGCTGGATGTTTTCAAAGCAGCACAGGCAGGTACACAATCATTTTATCTGGAGCTTAATTCTTCAAAACAGCAGGCAGGAGTTTCCCAAAAGGGTGAGAGGACAGGTCAACGTCAGCACCAGGAGGTGTAATAGACTCCCTTACTCTGAACACCCACTTGTACTCTAGATTCCCTCCAACCTTCTCACACCTGCTCCATCCAAGTATAAGGGAGTCTCAGTTGCTCAAACATGCATACTGAAGAGCTGGAAAATGGAGCAAGAGGGAACAAGTTAAAGCAAAATGGAGGCTTTAAAAAAATAAACTAAACTAAGCTCTACGAATAAATTCTAGATTCCTGTTTAACTATTTTAGGAAGCCAGTCATACAAACTAGAGTCCTTCTGCTCTTCCAGCTTGTTCCCCAGCCAAACGGATAATCCTCAATTTGTGGCATCACAACAGTTTTCACGACAGCTAATGCCACTGTCACAGACAGCAAGTACACCATCATCCAGTTGCATAAAAAGGGTACTTAATAAATGCTGACGTACACTGTTCTTATGCGCATAGTGAGACAGTGATTTAGGTGAGATAAATACACTTAGATATTCCCCATTTTACCAGAAGAAAAAAAAATATGGGGCTTGCCAGATATTAGCATAATTCACTCAAACTGCTGACTCATGTAGCACATTTCAAGAGATGGACACTGTGAAAACGAATTAAGACAGAGTATATTATGTTTATTTCCCCACTCTGTTCTGTTTTGGGAGGTACAAGTTAGAGTATCCGTGTTGCCAGAATATAGTGCAACTATATGGCTCCTGCAGATTATATCTACTGTATTTTCAGAGAAGGAAATATGATCAAAAAATTCATTTATAATGAGGCAGAATTTAAAACAAAAAGTGCCTACAGAGAGAGGCTTGTTAGTAACTACAAAACACTAAATCCACCAGCCAAATAGCTTCGGAAACTCAGCTGTATCCAATGCCAAAGGAAGATAAACACAGAAAGATTACCAGAGTGTCCTTTCATTTTGAAGAGCTTTTGATACTGAATGCTAAATTTTGAAAAACATTCCACTCAGTAACAATTCTGTTCATAATATTTGAGCAATTTCTTCTTCCCTCATTTACATCAAAGGATACTGGTATGAAAAAAATACCCAAGATTTTATTTTTGAGACCTTCTGCTCAAGCTGCTTGTTCCTTTAAAGAGACAATCCCCAATTTAAGGAATGACAATTTCTACAGCTGCCAATGGCAATGTCACCTATTAGCCATTTCCTTTTCTTTTCTTGTTAAATACCAAGACAAACTGCAAAAAATGGGAACTCTCTTCTGTTCCTATTAACAAGAATTCAGGTAGGGTGTCCCCCAATCCTACGCTTGTGACACCACAGTTCACTACCATGCAAACAAGTGTGTTCTCTAATACTGGATGAAGCGATCACTAAAGGAATCAGAACAATAGACTGATTATAGAAGAAGAAAGCTTTTGTATTATGCACATGTATTTATTTCAGTAATCAGCAATGACAAGAAGGAAAATATAGAAGGGTGTGCAGCTGTTCAGCAGGATTTGGGGGAAAATGTTTTCTCTGGTCTTAACTATTCTATCACATAAACACAAGACTAGCAGTGCTATTGGATAGGTCTGGGAGATCTTAAATCCTTTACTACTAACCTTATAAATGTTCTGAAACCTGTTGGTCCCAACTTCATTGTCCCTTTTACTCCAAGGAATCGGATAAACAATGCAGCCATTCTGTCCACCAGTCGCAGATAGTTGAACTGTTTGGCATACTTTGGAAACACTTGCTTGAGACAAAGGGAGGGTAAGCTGGCTTCAGGATTTTTGCTGATATCATGTTCCAATTGGTCTGTTGATCCTGGTTCCAATAGGTCATCTTTTGTGTCTGATGAATTCTCAGACAGTTGAGATCTGTAGCACAAACAGTAACTGTACCTTGTGAGACACTGTATCAATCCACTATGATTCTGTCAGCATCTTTATCATTAAAACCTATTTCCAGGGATTTAAAATTCATTCTGGGCTGGAAAAAACCATACAAGCAACTTTGTTCAAAATTAGAAGATTAAAAAACACTCAGCTGAGCTGTCTAAGTTTCAAGACGGAAAAAAGGATTTCTGGTTTCGGAGACCTTTATACTCATACTACTAGATGAGTGGGTAAAGAGAGATGGGCCAGTTTTCAAAATCTGCTGCCTAAAGTTAGGCACCTAAATTCATATTTAAGCACAAAACTAAATGTCCTGATTCTGAGAGCTACAGAGTGTCCATAAGTCCCATGTAAATGAAAGGGAGTTTGGGGTTCTCAGCACCTCTGACAATCAGACAACTTTTACGTAGGTTTGAACATTCAAGGCCGTATCTCATTTCCTTTTTTAATTTTAAAGTGAATTTCCACATTTGTCAAAATGCTGGATTAACAGCTCTGAGAATGTCAGCCCTGCATTCATCCAAAGACCAGGGACAGCATGAGCAGTGGCAGAGCAAGCTTCCCAACACACTCCACTGATGTGCTTCCACCTGGACATGGAGGACCCACTTCTAGGGTGAACTGTTTTTTCACTCTCAATGCCAGTTCAGTCTGTCATTTCTGCACAATCTGCCATCAACAATGCCAATGGAGATGGTGGTTTTTGTGACATGGACCCTGGCCAAGGCAGAAAAGCCAAAGCAGGGACTGCTGGACTTTCAGGAAACTCTCTACAGTTTTGGGTGGACTCTCTCTGGCATGTGCTGTTTAGCTGTTTGCTCCAACCCTCTCCCTCCCTCAGTCTCATTGCCTCAGCAGCACTCTTTTTACCCTCTTCTCCACCTCTTAGCCCCCCTAATCCCCTTCCCTTCAGCTGATCCCCTCTGAACTAACTCCCCACATATCCCCAAAAAATCATGGAACTAACATGACGTTTGCTGCCATCAAATTATTCACTCCACTCATGTGTTATCCCTTTCCCCTACCCTGCATCGGTCTTGTCTATTTAAATGTAAGCTCCTGGGGCAGGGTCTGTCTTTGTGTTTTAGGTTTGTATAGCTCCTATCAAAATAGGGTCCTGGCCCATGACTAGGCCTCCAAGGTACTACAGAAATACATATAATAAATCATAATAATAAAATGCTGAACCAGTACCCAGCATGACATGATGGGTCATGATGTGGATGGAGGATGAGCTGAAGCTGAAGTCCAGACAATTTCTGGTTTCAGAGTAACAGCCGTGTTAGTCTGTATTCGCAAAAAGAAAAGGAGGACTTGTGGCACCCTAGCGACTAACCAATTTATTTGAGCATGAGCTTTCGTGAGCTACAGCTCACTTCATCGGATGCATACTGTGTGCACCCGATGAAGTGAGCTGTAGCTCACGAAAGCTCATGCTCAAATAAATTGGTTACTCGCTAAGGTGCCACAAGTACTCCTTTCCTTTAGACAATTTCTGGTTATTGAGATCCTATGACACTTTTTGAAAGAGTGATGTTATTAGCCTAGGTTTTCTGGGCACAGTCTGTTTTGGTTAAGAAGATCCCGCCTATTGAAAATGAAAATACAATATTCTTCTTCACTTCTATTCCTAAACTATCATGTGATGGTGCTGTGAGCTGTTAACATCTGCTACCTTTCACCCTAGAGTTAGGTGAATTGATTCCCATGGATAGTTATGCAAAGCATTTGAAGGGTGAAAGGGGCTAGATAAGAATGATCCTCTATTGTCAATATGAAAAGGAGTACTTGTGGCACCTTAGAGACTAACCAATTTATTTGAGCATGAGCTTTCGTGAGCTACAGCTCACATAAATTGGTTAGTCTCTAAGGTGCCACAAGTACTCCTTTTCTTTTTGCGAATACAGACTAACACGGCTGTTCCTCTGAATATTGTCAATATGGTTACCAGGGAATCTACAAAACAGCCAGGAACACAATTTAATACCAGTTACCTCTGGCACCCAAAGTTGTTATTTGGAGGCAGAGATGATTAAGGTCTGGGAAGAAGAACAGAGCTCTGGTCTCTTTTGTCTGCCTCAGTTTCACTTCATTGTCACTATGTGAATGATCCAACAAAGGATTCCATTCTACGGCATTGTAAGTCCCACCGCTATCATGTCAGTGCAAACTTTCCCACTTCTGGGTGTACATATACCAGGTGTCCTTCACAGCAATCTCATTTCCCCCAGCTCACTGTGGTAGGCTTCCATCCAATACCTCAACCTTTCGGAGTCTCATTTTTGTATTCCTTGTTACCTGCCTATGTTTATCCTAACAGCTCAGAAATATTTCTAATTATTTGTGAAAAGTACTTAATTGGGTAGACAATGCAGGACTAATGTCACAAATCACCAAAGGAAATGAAACCCCACACAGAAAAAAAATTCATGAGTTCTAAATTAATTAACTTTCTTGGACTAAAACAGTTCAATCCACCTATTATCATAATGTATTCTCTACTTCAGTTTTCCATGGTCACAAACAGAATGAAAATGTGATTTATAACATAAATTATATCTTTTTCTTAATGCAGAAACATTATTATATAATCCATCTGAACACTCTTGTGCTACAAATCATTTTATTATTGCAATATCTGATATCCCAAAGTACATGGCATCAAACTGAGATAAGAAGAGCGAACAATTACATCCTTCCCCAGTTTTCACAAGCAGAAGATTATTCAATCTTTAGGCAACACTTTTCCTATAATACCTTAACATTTAAATGAGGTCTTCTTTAGTTCCATTTACATAGTATGTTTGCATACAGTAATATGCATTGATTTACAAGATGAATCCAGTTTATGTTCTTTAAAAAGATCAGGTCTCTATAAATAGATTGGCTCAGTTATTTTAATGTCAGTCAGTGATTCATCTATTATTGTTACAAACTTTCAAAATTATACAGTGTGAAGATAACAATATTTTAGACCCGCTTTAGCGCTTCACTACTTCAAATTACAAGATGCTCAGTCAGTAACTGCCAATCTAGGCCCTTTGCAAGTTTATAGAAAACAGAAACATCTTCGTATCTGGATGCCCTCCAGAATCTAGAGGAGTTGTTTCATTTACAAGCAAGATCCCTATATATTAAGGTACACAGGGAGAGATTACATGGAATTTGGCCAACTTATGCCTGTGACTTTATTTAAATAAATAATCACACACACAAAATACAGGTATGTTTAAATTTTCTTATATCTCTGCATGCACTTAACGTCACTTCAGTAAATTACGAGGCAGAGAGCTCTAATGAACTAAAAGAACAGTGCTGGGTGCACCCAGCTACTGAGTTCTAATTGTGTCTCTGCCAACGACAATGTTATGTGGCATTCAACAAATTGGTTAACCTCTAAAAGTCCCAGTTTCCTTATCTGGTGAGGGGGGGAAAGGTAGGTTGGGGTGACAATATTTAATTACCTCCCTCAATGGAGTGTTTGTGAGGATTAATTAATGAACGTTTGAACACTTTGAAAACACAAAGCTCTACCTAAATGCTAAGTGCTAGCCAGCTACTCCTACCACTGCCAGCACAGTGATAGCAGAGAGCTCCCATCTCCACAATACACTATTTTTCCCACTTGCTTATATTTAATTTCTCACCCATTTTGTCCTAACATAGGAAAGAACAATTCCTCCTTGGCTGCCTGTCTGATGAATACCTCAGGGAATTCCCTCCCCCGATCTCGCACTGGCACAGTCCTTTTACTGCCTCACTCAAAGCAGGACGCGACGGTGCTAATAATGCTGGTAATCAGTCTATAGTAGCACTCGCGAGACCAATGCAGGAAGAACGCCTCAAAATTCTCAGTGTAGACAAGACCCTTGCAGACAACCTACAAGCTCAGGCTCCAGTTCCAAGAGCAAAATGTTTGTATCAGAGGGCAAATTAAGGTGTTAAAAATGTTTCTTAAAAGCAACACTTTCTCACATATTTAAGTCAAAGAGAAGAGGTATTTTATGAACCATTAAAAAACCCCTCACCTTTGTGCAAAGAAAACACACAAGAAATTCCTGCCCATCAAATACTTTTCCCAAAAAGTGGTAAGAACCTTTAAGCAGGCACTTAAATGAAAATCTCATCTCTGCCCTAACTATGGGTATCCTGTCAGCACGGCTGAACTACATACTGTACTGTACATCTTAGCCTCCTCGTGGCCAGCCTGACCATGGCATGTCTGGAGAATGCAGCCAATTGAAACCCTGCATATTTGCATTAAGGGCATGCAATTCACCCAGCTTCTGCCCTAGACTTAAAGCCAGCAGGAGAAAAGTAGAGGAGTAAACCTATGAGTATAAGCAACAGAAGCCTGATCATTTGCGTAAGCAGAAGAAAACTCTATCTCCAGGTGTCAAATCCTCCCCCACAAAATGTGCTACACAGATGACTATTCTGCCTGAAGTTTGCCACAGGTCTGTCTGAGGCCTCCGTCTGTTTTAGCACGGGGCGTCTGGGGTCATTTTACATGCAGAGTCAAAAATAAAGGCAAACTAGCACAGAAATCCTCATATTTATATAAGAATTATAATCTCATTATTACTCGTCATTATAACTACAGGTATATAGGAGCTAGGTATGATCATTATATCATGCCCATGACATATTTCAAGCTTCAGCTGCTTTTTGTTTAAGTCCTCCTTAAACAATTTTTCTTCTTACAAGGGGCAAATGCATTCAAATCTTCCCTTAAAACACCTTGTGTTTTCACTGATAATTCACCAAAAACAAAGAAAAATTTCCAAAAGTCAAAATCTGCACCACCTTCAAACCTGGGCTTCTACCCTGCCAACCAGTGAATTGTGCATGGGCTAAATTATCACTGGTGTAATCCAAATGACATTATTGTGAAAACAAGAGTCATACTAGAAAAAGTTTAGGAAGTTTAACTTTAGGATTCCTATTAGATTCTTATTAAATATTTGTATAATGATAGTGCT